CTAGGTTAGTATCTGGCTGGTGCAGTCTTGGATCCTAGATTCAGGCTGTTGTCTGATGTTTTTTGTTCTCAATCCAAAGGACTCCCTTTAATAATTCTTGACAGTTTTGTTTGATTTTTACACAGTCCCTTAATTTCTGTCTATCTGGAAATGTCCTAATTTCACCATCATATTTGAATGAGAATTTTGCAGAATATATTATTCTTGGTCAGCAATTTTTTTCATTCAAGGTTTTATATGTGTCATCCCACTGCCTTCTTGTGTGCACAGTTTCTGCCAAGTAATCAGAGCTTAATCTTATTGTTTCTCCTCCGTATATGACTTTTCATTTTTCTCCAGCTGTTCTTAGGATTCTTTCTTTGTCTTTGGTTTTAGCAAGTGTGATCATGATAGGCCTTGGTGATTTTCCTTTTGGGTGTATCTTATATGAGGTTCATTGAGCGTGTTTAATGGTAAGCTTTTCATCTTTTATGATATTAGGGAAGTGTTCTGTCAGCAGTTCTTCAATGATCTGTGTTTTCCGTTTTCTCCCCCTGTTCTGGAAAAATTTTTGCTTTTGATTGTATCCCACATCATTCTCAGGGTTTCTTCATTTTTTTCATTCTTTTTTCTGTTTTTCACTCAAACAAAGTGGTATCTAACTATTAATCTTCAATTTCACTGATCCTGTCTTCCATTGTTTCAAACCTGCTTCTCAGACCTTCTATGACACTGTCCATTTCTGAAATCTTGTTGTTTATCTTTTGGATTTTTAATTGCTGTTTTTGTATGATTTCTAATTGTGAATTTATTTTGACATTTTGCTCCTATATTATTTTCCTGATTTCTTCCATTGTTTTGTCTGTATTTTCCAAGATTTTGTCTGCCTTTTCAATGGAATTTTGTCTTTTTTTCCCTCATTTTGTCTGCTTTTTCCTTAAACTCTTAAAAATAGTTCTGAATGTTGGAGATTTGAATATTGGAGGTAGTTCCAGTGTCTTTTCTTCTGCTGGAAAGTCATCAGGTGTTTTATTTTGGACACCTGCTAGAACCATCTTATCCTGTTTTTTTAATATGTTTTGATATTGTCTGCTGTCTTTCGGACATTCAGTAGTTGTTTCCTTCATTTATTGATTGTGGATTTGTTTGTTTCATCCATCTTTTTTGTTTTATTTGGTTACGTCTGAGCAAGCGGATTGTTCTTTCTATGTTGTTTGCTCATCTTGAGCACCACATTGTTTAATGGGCAGGGCAAGTAGCTCAGCAATGGTGCAGCAAGGCAGGTCCAGCACTAGGGGAGGGGCTAGGATGGGTTGTTTGTGGCACGTACCGGGGCCGACAGGGCAACGCCAGTGATCAGTGCAGGGCATGTTCCCATATACTGTGTCTGTGATGCTCAGGGATATGATGTTCAACACACAGTGCAGATAGGCAGGATGGAAGGGGGAGCTTGTGATGTGTGAAGCTAAGTGGGTATGGTAAAGAAGAGAAAGAGGAGAGAGAAACAGAAGCCAAAAAAAAGTGCCCATAGAGCCTGCCATTGGAGTGGCACAGACCCAGGGAAGCCATGTGCTGCGACCTTCTAGCCAGGTGGTGAGGCACAGCTTATCCAGAAGGGACAGTCACAGCACACACAAGTAGATGGGCAGGAGAACTAATAGAAGGAGGGAGAGAGAGATAAGAAATTAGATTTTAAAAAAAGGAGACAGAAAGGCACATATCACTAGGTGGTCAGGGGAAAGGAATGGAAGGAATGCAGAGAGAGATAAGAAACCAAGAGAGAAAAAACAAAGATGCCAAGTGGTTGGGAGGAAGGAAAGGAAGAGGGGTAGAGACAGACAAGAAATCAAGAAAAAAAAAGAAGAAGAAAGAAAAAATTTCCCCAAGGGAGCCCACCTGAAGCGGGTCTGTGGCCGAATTGTGTTGCACAACCCCTCCAGTAGAAGTAGAGACGGTACATGGTGATGGGTGTTCAGGAGAAGGGTAAGGAAGGGAGGTAAAGAGAGACAAGAAATCATGAAAAAAAAGTACAACAGAAAAGAAAAATGTCCCAAGGGAACCCACTTGAACTGGGTCTCCAGCCAAGTGGTAGTGTATAGCCTATCAAGAAGGAGCAGAGATGGCACAAGGCACCAGGTGTTCAGGAGAAGAGTAAGGAAGGAAGGCAGAGGGAGACAAGAAATCAAGAAGAGAAAAGAAGGAAGAAAGAAAAAGAAAGAAAGAAAAAACAAAGATGCCCTGAGAGAGCCCACTGGTGGGGTGGCACGGACCAGGGAAGTGGCTCCCCAGCTGAGTGGCACTGCACTGCTCGTCTAGAAGGAGCAGAGCTGACACATGTTGCCAGGTGTTAAGGAGAAAGCAAAAGAAGGAAAGTAGAGAGAGATAAGAAACTGATTCATGAAGAAAAACAAAAAGGAAAAAAGAAAAAATAATAACAAAAAATAAAAAAAAGAAATGCCTCCAGGGATCCCACTAGCGTGGTGGCAGAGACTGGGGAAGTGGCTTCCAAGCCACGTGGTACAGCCAGTCTACAAAGGGCAGAGATGGCACTCAGCACCAGGTATTCAGAAGACAGGAAAAGAAGGTAAGTAGAGAGAGACGAGAAACCGAGAAACGAAGAAAAGGAAAAAAGAAAATGAAAAAGAAAAAAAAAATGGCCCCAGGGATCCTGGTGTGGTGGTGCAGACCAAGGAAGTGATTCCTCAGCCAAGCAGTGCTGCACAACCTGTCAAGATGTCATCATGATATGTCAAGACATGTCAATTCTGTCTTGAACAACCTTGAGTCTTTTGATTTGAAGAAACTGAGTCTTAAAAACTCATTGAAATTGCCCTGTAAATTGTAGAGCTGAGATATAAACCCTCGTGGTTAGATCTCAGAGCAAGTGTGGTTATCTACTTCATTATGACGCTTCATAGGATATGAACAAATAAAACAGTCCACTGAGGTTTCATTTCAAAAGGTACAAAAAGGGTGTATAATCAAAAGTAGTATCATTATTATTACAGGTCTGAGCCCGTACATAATTCTCTCTCATTTAAGTCAGTTTTTATCTCTTTTACAAGATGTTTCCCTGAAATGAATGTAATATTCCATATGTGGTCTGACAAGCATTGAGACTGACAGGAGTAAGAGCAGACTCTTTCCACTCCTTACACATTTATCAGTGCAGGTTGTGGTCTCATTAGCATTTCCATTACAGCGTTGTCACATCGTAGCACCGACTCAAGCAAACCTTAAAATTGATTAAAATACTGACTACTGTTTATGGCTGTTGCTAATAAGTCTGTATAAGTGCAGTTGATTCCTTTCACCCAAGCCCAGGATCTTGTAGTTATTTATCACTGCTAGAATTCATCTTATTAGATTCAACCTAGCACATAGTGTTCTTTTTGAACGGTGAATCTGTTATAATTCAGATTCACTATCATCATCCCCTGTGTCATTCCAATTGTGAATTTGTACTGCATTTCTCCTAAACTGTTAGACTATTTAGTGACACAAATGGATCAAGGATAAGAACAGAATGCTGCATGTGATCTTCAAGTAATATTGTTTAAGGAAATACCAAACTATCTGATAAACTAGTCAATTTTTCCGTGTTGTCCACAAGAATTCCAGAAGGTCCCTGGCTGAAGTCCAGATATAATTTGGCCTCAGTTGATCCCTATGCAGCTGGGCTGGTCTATCATTTTCATAAATCAATCATAAAAGTTACTCAATATTTTCCTTATAATACTTATGCATATGTGAATCTGTTTCATAGTTACAATAGCTTCCTCTCTCAGGGACTTAAATGCTTTTGCTAATTTGTTTCAGAGCTATGTCTGTATTAACGCTGAGTTAATTGGCCTATCATTTGTATCATTACTTCTGTTTCCATGGAATATCCAGTGTAAGTGTAGTCTGCCTTTACAATGTACTGTGAGATAGAGACAAAGAATATGATACTAGAGAAGGGCAAAGGAAGCATCCTCAGAAATGAAATACTTTGTTGAGTGGCAGTTTGCTATATGTAATGATTTTTTTTTTTAATTTTTTTCCCACAATTTCTTCAACACTCCTTCCTCCAAATGGTGGAGTCTAATTTCCCTCCACTTGAGTATAGGCTGGATTTAGTGATTCACGTCCAAAGAATAGATATGACTGCAGTGAGAATGTGTCATAAAAAGACTTCTTCCTCTCTTTCTCAAATCACTAGCTCTGAGGAAAGTTAGCTGCCATTCAAACAATTTATGGAGAGGCCCACGTGGCAAGAAACTGATGCCTCCTCCCCAAAGCCATGTGAGTGAGCCATCTTGGAAGCAGAGCCTCCAGCCCAGTCAAGCCTTCAGATGATTGCAGCCCTGGTCAACATACTGCAATCAAAAAAAGAGAATCTGTGTCCTCCAAGGCCGAGAAGGGAGCATGTTGATATGTCGTGGGGTTGTTAACCAATGTCATAAAACAATATGTGTACTAACTGTTTAATGAGAAAATATTTGTTCTGTAAACCTTCACCTAAAGTACAATTTTAAAAAATTTAAAAAAAACAATTTGAAGCAGCTGACGAGAGAGAGAGAGAGTCTGGCTCTGAACGACTCAGCTAAGCTACTCTCAAATTCCTGACTGACAGAAATTGTAAGATAATAAAGGTATTTTTTTGGGCCAATATGTTTTTCAGAAAATTTGTTGCACAGCAATAGGTAACTAATATACGAGGTGTTAGGTGGTAGTATTATTCTTTAATGCTTTAATTCAGATATTGGGAGAATTATATTATTTAGAGAAATACATATTCCTATACACGCACATATATATAATTTTGAGTGGCTAAACAATTAAAAGTATTTAACATACAAAAATGTGTTTTTGATTATACTTAGAAATGCCTACTTTGAAAAGCAAAGAATCCTAAAAATGTTCTACTTTACATACACAATAAGAAAACTGTTTGCTTTAATTGTGTCTAAGGTTTTTTGGTTTTAGTAGAAAGTCATTTCAAATTTTAAAAACTAGATCAAGACATGAATGGAACTTACAGCTACATCTTGGCGTAGGTGACCAGCCACTGCTAGTACATAGTGCCGTATTTCCCCTGGTTGCAGGGTAAAAGCCATCTTTACATCCGTAGCTGATTTTATCTTCACTTCTGTGGGTAATCCTTTGAGGTGTGTAGAAACCATTTGCAATATAAGGAGGATTACACGTGACTTCTGAAAAGAAACACGATATAGTACATGAAAATTAAAAAGTAGAGGTTATTTATCATTAGTACATTTAAAAAATAACATAAAAATGAACACAGCCTCATATCCTTCCAGCTATATCACTCATATATCCCTCCATTGTATTTATTAACAGATGTATGTGTGCCCCTTGGACTCATGATCCTTCTATTTCTCCAAAGCCATCACATACTTCATGACTTTCCATATCTGGCAATGAGCTCCTGTATCACTTCAAATATTCCTTCCACTTTCTTCACTTCCTTGGCTTCTCTAGTTGTCAAAAAGACTATTTACAAGTATCCTGATTCTCTTCCTTCCAGACACATGGTTGTATAGGTCATTCTTACCCTTTTGGTGTAGACTTGGACAAATGACTTGTATAGGCCAATGAAATGAATGTGGAAGTATATGTTTCACTTTAGGGAGGAAGTTTTAAAACACATCGTGTGAATTTTTATGTTCTCTTCCCCACAGCCACCGTGATTGGACAAGCTTTTTTGTAAAGCTAGAGGGTTGGACAACCTTCTTTGTAAAGCACCAGATAGAAGTTCTTTGTCACAACTCCTCAGCTCTGCCATTGCAGCAAAAAAGAAAATATAGACAATATATAAACAAATGGCTATGGCTGTATTCCAACTAAACTTTATTTACAAAAAAGGGAACAGTCTGTTTTAATTAGGAAGCTATTCCCTGATCTAGTTTATCTCAATTGATAAAACTCCTTCTCATTCCTCTCTATCAACTATGCTGAATCTCAACAATGGATAAACTTTTCAAGCTCCCTTTTCTAATTAAATATCATTCCTTTTAAGTATCATTGTAGAAAAGTCACATGACCATCCATATTGTTGTCATGTTGTAATTTGAAATAAAAACCTGTTCTAGAAACTGAACATCGCTTGAAATCCATTTATATGTCCCTAATTTATTTCCTCTTTTTTTTCCTAAAGGAACTGTCCCATAGTCTCCTCACTTTCCTCAAGATACCTCACCCAACTGATCTTTCATCAACAGATAATAAGTCCTTGTGTTCACAGAAAACAACTGAGACTTAATTGTGATTTCCCTTCATTTCTTTCCAAAATTTCTTCAACTTTAGTTGTATCTATTTCATACTTAAGACTTTTGTTCAGCCTTAGATAATAAGGTGTTTCTTCCACATTCAGGTAGCTTCTCACCTTCAGATCTTTCATTTCCCCATGGACCTCAAGCCATTGTTTATTCCTTTCCTCTTTCTGATGTTGTCAGCCACTCTGTCTCATATGGATATGCAAGTTGTTGTATTTTAAACTCTTTCTCTCAACCTTTTGTTCCAGTTTAACTTATATGCTACATTCTTCCATTTTTTCTCAAACAAGAGCCTCAAAATACTGTTTTACAAGTACTATCTCCACTTTCTTTCCTCCCATTTATTCTTCAACCCATTGCTATCTGGCTTCTAACACCTCCATGTGCTGACACTACTCTGAGAAAAATCACAAATGTTCTCCAATTTCCGCATTCAAAAATTTTTTATATTCTATATATTACATTGACTGGTATGTAATACAGACTCCTTAGTTATTTGTTGAACTGAACAGATCAATTTCTCTGTAATATTTGAGACTGTTGATCACTGATTTCTTAAAGTTCTCTCTTGGCTAATATTCTTATGTTCTCCTGCTTCTCCTCCTTCTCAAAACTTTACTTTTATTTATTTTTTTCTGGCTCCTTCTCCTTTATTCTACTTACCTTTTAGACCCTCTCTATTTAATCTTTTGTTATGATGAAGGTAAAAGACTACAGCCTTCAGTATGGAATACACCTGATCATAAAGAAAATGAAAATCCTTAGACAGGACCATTAAACAATATCACAATAAACGGTGAAGAATTTGAAGTTGTCAAGAATTTCATTCTTCTTTAATACACAATCAATGCCCATAGAAGCAGCAGTCAAGAAATCAAATTACATATTGCATTGGGCAAATCTGTGGCAAAAGATCTCTTATAAAAATCAAAGATGTCATGTGACCCATTCCATGGTATTTTCAATCACTTCATAAGCATGAAAATATAGACAATAAAAACAAAGACTAAAGAAGAATTGATGCATTTAAATTGTGGTGATGGCAAAGAATTTTGAATATACCATGGATTTCCAGAAGAATGAACAAAGCTGTCCTTGAAGAAGTACAGCCAGAATGCTCCTTAAAAGCAAGGGTGGAGAGACTTCCTCTCACTTACTTTGGCAACATCATCAGGACAGACCAGTTACCGGAAAAGGACATGATGCTTAGTAAAGTACAGGGTGAACAGAAAAAAAAGACCCTCAGTAAGATGGATTGACACAATGGCTGCAATCATAGGCTCAAACACAGCAATGACTGTGAGGATGGTGCAGGCCCCAGCAATGTTTCATTCTGTTATACATAAGGCCACTATGAGTTGGAGCTGATTGGATGGCAGCTGTCTTAGGCTGGGTTCTCTAGAGAAGCAAAACCAGTAAAGCATATAAATATATATGGAGAGAGATTTATATAAAGGAAATAGCTCATGCAGTTGTAGAGGCTAGAGTGTCCCAAGTCCATGGATCAGGGCAGAGGCCTCTCCCAATTCACGCAGCCACAGAAGCTGGCGAGCCCAAGATCAGCAGGTCAGAGAGCAGGGCTCCCACTCACAGGCTGTGAAGGTTGACGAAGTCCAAGTTTGGCAGACAGGACCACAAGGTTTCTCCTGACTCCCGTAGCTGCAGGGGCTGATGAACCCAAGATTGGTAGGTCAGACAGCAGGGCTCCACTCACAGGCTGTGAAGATCGACGAATCCCAAGTTTGGCAGATAAGATGACAGCTCAAGTCCCAAGAACCGGAGGTGAGACAACAGGAGGCAGCCGCAGGATCCAGAGTGAGCAAAAAGCTAGGACGTCTGCTTATATTCAGATGCAGGCCACACCCCCAAGGAAACTCCCTTTCATCTGATTGGCTACTCACAGCATATTCAATCATGGCAGTGATCACATATAAACACTGAGAATCATGGCCCAGCCAAGCTGACACACAATCTTAACCACCACAGCCCACCCCTTGTCAACTTGGCACATGTACACATATCCTTAAAGCATACATAATCTCTGAATAAAGGCAATTAGAAAGTATACTTGTGCTTAACATGATACAACTAACACGCGTACAATCAAAAACACCCTAGCTCCGTTTACATCTTATATTTTATAAGTGAAGAAAACAAAAATACTTGATGCACACAAACAAAACAAAAATACTCATAACAATGACCTATTTCTGCAACTGGTCACATGGCTGTAACTGGTATTTAGAATTACCTTCTTCCACCACCCATTCCGTATTCCCTTTGCCCTCAGCAAGCACCTTGACTGGTTGTAGTTCTTTGCCTGGTGGAGTGAATCAAACCTTCATTCCTGAAGGGCCTGGGTCATTAGTAGTTATGTCAGAATTAGGTTGCTATAGTTTTCCATTGACTTTAATCACAGGATGTGGTAGTACTAAGAGACTCCCTAAGGAATCTCCTGCATTCCAGACATAATCTTCTTCACCTTCATTATGTAATATCAATCTGATTTCCTCTCAGTAATCAGGATCAATCACACCAGCCAGTATGGTAACTCCCTTCTTTGCCTGTTGATCCAGAGACATAAGGAGCCCAAAGTGGCCAGGTGGCTTTCTTAACTTTCAGTTCAATGGAATCAGTAATGTGTCCCCAGATGGGAGCATTCCTCCCTTTGGAACTAAGACCTCTAGACCTGCGGAGCATAAGGTCGAGGGGACAGGAAGCAAAAATCTTGCAAGTGGGTCATTAGGGTAATAGTGAGTGGTGCCATTCCCATTTCCACCCCTTGATTCCTGGACCCATGAATCCTGGCTATGGGAGAAACAGTACCATATACTGGATGCTGGCTTAGAGCATATACAGCCTCCTGGAGAACTGCCCCAACCCTGCAAGGTATTGCCACCTACCTGGCACTGTAATTGTGTCTTTAGAAGGCCATTCCATTGTTCTATCAAGCCGGCTGCTTCAGGATGATGGGGAAAATGGTAAGACTAGTGAATTCCATGAGCACGGGCCCACTGCCGTAATTCATCTGCTGTGTAGTGAGTCCCTTGATCCGAGGCAATGCTGTGTGGGATACCATGATGGTGGATAAGGCATTCTGTAAGTCCATGGATGATAGTTTTGGCAGACGCATTGCATGCAGGGAAGGCAAAGCCATATCCAGAGTAAGTGTCTATTCCAGTAAGGACAAAATGCTACCCTTTCCATGATGGAAATGGTCCAGGGTAATCAACTTGCCACCAGGTTACTGGCTGATCACCTCGAGGGATGGTGCCATATCGGGGACTCAGTGTTGGTCTCTGCTGCTGGCAGATTGGGCACTCAATAGTGGCTGTAGCCAAGTCAGCCTTGGTGAGTGGAAGTCCATGCTGCTGGGCCCATGCATAACCCCCATCCCTGCCACCATGGCTACTCTGTTCATGAGCCCTTGGAGCAATGATGGGAGTAGCTGGGGAAAGAAGATGACTGGTTTCCACAGAATGGACCATCCTATCTACTTGATTGTTAAAATCATCCTCTGCTGAGGTCACCCTTTGGTGAGCATTCACATGAGACACAAATATCTTCATTTCTTTGGCCCATTAAGAGATGTCTATCCACATAACCTCTTCCCCATAAATCCTTCTCTCCAATTTTCCAATCGTGTTCCTTCCAAGTCCCCAACTATCCAGCCAAACCATTGGCCACAGCCCATGAATGAGTATATAGTTGCACACCTGGCCATTTCTCTTTCCTAGCAAAGTGAACAACCAGGTGCACTGCTCGAAGTTCTGCCCATTGAGAGGATTTCGCTTCACCACTGTCCTTCAGGGAGGTCCCAGAAAGGGGCTGTAGTGCTGCTGCAGTCCACTTTAAAGTGGTGCCTGCATATCGCACAGAACCATCTGTAAACCAGACACGAGTTTTCTCTTTTTCAGTCAACTCATAATAAGGAACTCCCCATGAGGCCATAGATGCAGACTGGGAGATGGAAGTAATGTGACAGGAGTGGCATTTGGGCCACTTCCTCATGCAACTTACTTGTGCCTTCCGGTCCTGCTCCATTTAATGATGGAGTGCTGATGTGCATGCCCAACTTTATGACTCTGTGGGTCAGACAACACCTAGTTCATGATGGGCAGCTCAGGCTGCAAGGTGACTTGGTGTCCGATGGTTAAGTGTTCAGTCTCTACTAAGGCCCAGTAACAAGCCAAAATTATTTCTCAAAAGGAGAGTAGTTATCTGCAGAGGATGGCAGAGCTTTGTTCCAAAATCCTAAGGGTCTGTGCTGTGATTCACTAGCAGGGGCCTGCCAAAGACTCCAAACAGCATCTTTATCTGCCACTGACACTTCAAGCACCATTGGATCAGCCAAATCATACAGCCCAAGTGGCAGAGCAGCTTGCACAGCAGCCTGAACCAATTGCAGAGCCTTCTCTTGTTCTCATCCCCACTCAAAACTAGCAGCTTTTCGAGTCACTTGATAAATAGGTTGGAGTAGCACACTCAGATGAGAAATATGTTGCCTCCAAAATCCAAAGAGGCGCACTAGGCTTCGTGCCTCCTTTTTAGTTGTGGGAGCAGCCAGATGCTATAACTTATCCTTCACTTTAGAAGGAATGTCTGGACATGCCCCACACCATTGAACCCCTAGAAATTTCACTGAAGTGGAAGGTGCCTGAATTTTTGTGGGATTAATTTCCCACCCTCTAGCATGTAAATTTTTTACCAATAAGTCCAGAGTCATTGACATGTCTTCCTTATTAGGTCCAATCAGCATAATGTTATCAATGTAATGGACCAGTGTGATGTCTTGTGGAAGGGATAGGCGATCAAGGTCCCTGCAGACTAAATTATGACATAGGGCCAGAGGATTGAGGTAACTCTGAGGTAGGCCAGTGAAGGTGTATTGCTGGCCTTGCCAGCTGAAGGCAAACTGCTTCTGGTGGTCCTTCAAAACAGTTATGGAGAAAAAGGTATCAGCCACATCAATAGCTGCATACCAGGTACCAGGAGATGTATTAATTCACTCAAGCAGTGAAGCACATCTGGAACAGCAGCTGCAATTGAAGTCACCACCTGGTTAAGTTTTCAATAACCCACTGTCATTCTCCAAGATCCATCTGTTTTTTGCACAGGCCAAATAGGTGAGTTGCATGGGAATGTTGTGTGAATCACCACCCCTGCATTCTTCAAGTCCTTGATGGTGGCATTAATCTCTGCAATTCCTCCAGGAATGTGGTATTGCTTTTGATTTACTATTTTCCTAGGTAGGGGCAGTTCAAATGGCTTCCACTTGCCTTTTTCTACCATAATAGCCCTTACTCTATTTGTCAGGGATCCAATGTGGGGGTTCTTCTAGTTACTGAGTATATCTATTCCAATTATACATTATGGAACTGGGGAAACCACTACAGGATGGGTTCGGTGGCCCACTGGACCTACTGTGAGACAGACATCAGCCAAGACTCCATTAATAACCTGACCTCCATATGCCCCCACCCTGACTGGTGGGCCACAGTGACGTTTTGGGTCTCCTGGAATCAGTGTCAGTTCAGAGCCAGTATCCAGTAATCCCCAAAAAGTTTGATTATTTTCTTTCCCCAATGAACAGTCACTGTCATAAAAGGCCGTAGATCCCTTTAGGGAAGGCTGGGAGAAAGAGTAACAGCAAAAATTTTTGGAAGTGTATTGGAGTCCTTCCTCAAGGGGACCCAGCCTCCCCTTCATTCAAGGGGTTGTGGGTCTTTAAACTCTCTCAAGTCTGGGAATTGATTGAGGGACTGTGACTCTATTCTGGCGATTTGAGTTAGACTGCTGTTCACCTGACCTAGAATTCATCAGTTTGTACAGATCAAGTAAATATTTAGTAGATTTCCTATCTATTTCACTCACAAGGACACCATGATTAAGTAGCCAATTGCATAAGTCCATATGAGTCAGACTATTCTGATTAATGCTTTGACTCCTCTGTCCATTACTGTAACCACTCCCACCTTGTCTTTGTCGATTGAGTTCAACCACTTGGACCTTACTACCACAGGGTCCAATCAGCCCCATTGTAGTTAGGTGTCTTAATTCAGTTAGGGTAGTTCCCACTGTCAAATCTGACATATATAAAATAGCATCACAGCAGTCTTCAAGGATGCTGGAGCTCCCTTCACATATTTGAGCAAATTTCAAAAGGTGTGTCCTCTGGGCTCTCCATGTGTGGGTCTGTGGGTCTAACTTGATAAATCCACTCTAGTATGTCAATTTCCCTAAGCCTTTGGATACCTTCTTCTACAATATACCAAGGCAGGTCTAGTACTTCAACTTGATTTAGTTTAGGCCACCTCCTAATCCATGCTTCAGCAACCCAGCCAAATAAACTATAAATCCTTTCCTAACTTCTTGAGCTGAAACATTGAATGAACAATCTGTACATAGTGGATGCATATCAATAAACTCAGACTGATCCATCTTTATGTTCCTTGCACCATTATCCCACACCCTTAATAGCCATTCCTACACGTATTCTTCAAGTTTCTGTTTGTACATATTAGAAAACTCAAGTAGTTCTCTTGGAGTGTAGCATACCTCCTACTGGGTAACACTTTGTACTTCTCCTTTTGGGGCTCACTGGGACTTAAGCCTAGTTACAGGTCTAGAAGCCAGAATTAGTAGTATGAAATTGTTTTAAGAACATTCAGCATTGTCTTGTAAAGCATCTACCTCAGGTGATGCCCCAGGCAATGACTCAGGCAAGAACTCTTTAAAGGTAGCTCGGCTAGGGCTGATCTCATTAGATGGGAGTGGAGGGGCTAGTGGCTTTTCTGGGCAGGGTGGTTTAGTAGACAAACTTCAGATGGGAATGGCTCTGCTGGCAGGAGTGACTCAATGGAATTTAGGGGCTCAGTGTCCCCAGCTTCCTGATTAACTGCCCATATGTCCCCATCCCAAGTTTCAGGATCCCATTTCTTCCCAATCAATGCCCTTACTTTAACCTCAGACACCTCTCAAGGTTGGAAATTGAGCTGGCATTGTAATTCAGCCACTCTTACACTAAGACTCTGGGTTTGGTTTTCAGCAATTTCAGCTCTGTTACTACAAGAAATAAGGCTTTCTTTCAAAGCACAAGGGGAAGTCTTGAGGTCATTTATGCAGAACTTGAGCTTTGACTCTAAAGCCCTGAGCACATGTCTTTTTTGTACCAGTTTGCCTAGCACAAGTAGGACAAACCTACCAGTTTCCTTATACTTCTCATTCTGACAAAGCTGTAGAAAGATATCACACATGTGTTCACCCCGAGCCTCGCCTTTCACCAATACCTGATCTACTGGTGGTGATATTTTGCATATTTGTATCCCCACCTCACACCATGGACTAGCAGTGCCCTCTTTACTGCTGGAAGCAGAGTCATCAACATCTTTAGACTAACCAGGCTTGAGAACCAGTTTAGAAAACTCATCCTTACAATTTTGTTTCTCTAGAACCACTCTCAGTACCAAATGTCTTAGGCTGTGTTCTCTAGAGACGCAAAACCAATAAAGCATATAAATAGAGAGATTTATATCAAGGAAACAGCTCATGCAATTGTAGAGGCTAGAATGTCCCAAGTCCATGGATCAGGGTAGAGGCCTCTCCCAATTCACGCAGCCACAGAAGCTGGCAAGCCCAAGATCAGCAGGTCAGACAGCAGGGCTCCACTCACAGGCTGTGAAGATCGATGAATCCCAAGTTTGGCAGATAAGCTGACAGCTCAAGTCCCAAGAACCGGAGGTGAGACAACAGGAGGCAGCCGCAGGATCCAGAGTAAGCAAAAAGCTAGAACGTCTGCTTATATTCAGATGCAGGCCACACTCCCAAGGAAACTCCCTTTCATCTGATTGGCTACTCACAGCATATTCAGTTATGGGAGTGATCACATATAAATACTGAGAATCATGGCCCAGTCAAGTTGACACACAATCTTAACCATCACAGCACCTAACAACAACAACTATTTCATCTCCTACCACTTTCCCTTTTACTCTGTATTACCATCACAACGGCCTCTGATTCTATACTGGATAACACTGTTGTTTCACTCACCATGGCAATCTTCATCAAAAGTTAACTCACTCCTTTTCAAAAATGTTTCCAAATATCTTAAGAATATCATCATAATCTTATAGCTCTGTCTTCTTTCTCTTCTTCTTATGGTATGATTTTTTAAAAACTCTTTATCTATATGCTCTCATCTACGTCAAGATAGTTTAAACCATCCTTTTTAAAAAGCAATATGCTGATTAGAACACAATATTCCAGACATAATTTTTGGTGGACAAAGAACAGTTGAGATTAACTCTTTGGTGGTGGACAATATCCTTCCATTATGGAGTCTAGGAAAGTTAGATTATTTTCAGCACCTACATCACCGTTGATTAGTATTAGGCTTGTTGTTAATTAAAATCTCCATTTACATCTTCCTTCCCCTGGTAAACACCTACCGTACTCATCTTGTTCTAATTAATTCACTATAGTCTTCCTCATTTGACATTAATAAGATTTACTTTTTGAAGCAAAAGGCAAGTCCTTAGAGCACACAAAGCAATTATTTAAGAATTGTTTATTCCATGGGAATTAGAAAGCCTGCTATAGTCCTGGCTCAAGGTGTCTTTTTGACAATCAACCAACTACTTTATAAAGTATTAAAACTTTCTGGCCCTGTTTATTTCTATTTTCAGAGTGACAGACTCTTACAAATTGATTTCAAAATAGACCTTGCAAACATAAAATTCTATGCTTTGTTCTTCTGAGATAAGATATTTATTCTAAAATAATTGACCCCTATAGAATTTAATATTACACTTGGGAGAAAAAAATAGATTCCTTATGTAAAAAATATGATATGAATTAAAACTATTGATTAAAGTATATAACAAAAGAAATAGAAAAGAGAAGTAACATTACCTCTACATGAAGGACTTGGACTCCATCCATTTTGCGTGCATACAGCATCTCCTCTTTCATTGTATTCATAACCCTTGTTACATTTATATTGAAATCGCTCATTCTCCTTATAAATTTTGTCTGGAGATACAGCATACCCGTTTTTAATTTCTTGTAATTTGCAGGAAATCTCTAAATAGAAGAGAGCAGATTTCAAAATGTTAACTATGAATTAAAGGACTGTGACCAAGTCATAGTCATTTAAAAACACAACTTTTGTTTTATTATGTAAATCACCCAACCAAACAAAAGTTCTGTTTTGACTTGAATGCTTGATGAATGATTTATGCATTATTCTTGACATTCATTTTTGAAGGACATTACAATTTTGATTAATTTATTTTGTTAATTTTATTTGGTTTGAGGATTGTTTAGTCCTCTTTAAATAAATGGTGGCCAGTAACATTCTTCAAATGTATGAATAAAATGCATATTTACTTTGATAAGTATTTTTCACTAAGTGAATGACAAATGTCACACGTTTTCTAGTTATCAATTATAAAGTAATTATGGACTGAACACTTTGTCAATGAAATTAATTCTCTGTCATTGCTTTTCTGAAAAGTAACAGACTTTTTGCTTTTGTGGCTTTACCTTCCATCCACCTTTTCTGTCTATAAAAACCTGGCCATCATCTTCGACGCCACCTTCTCTCAAATGTTTTTTTCCTGGGATTATGGCAATGTTAACTGGCTTCCCTGATCTCCAATCTTTCTAATCCATTTTCTAGTATATAACTTAACGATCTTTCATCTGGTCACTCTGTTGCTCCACTTACCATCTTTCACTGATCCCCAAATCAGGCTGAATAAGAGAGAAGAATTTGTCAGTGTCGTGTATATAGCACCTCAGAACCTTGCACTGGCCTATCTACAATCCATCACTGACTTCTCCCTACTTGCATCCTACACTAAGACTCTCGTGAACAATGAACAACAAATAAGCATAAACCTCACTTCCATTTGCATCTTCCTTCCCATGGCATACTCTTCCCATCCTCGTCTTCTTCTAAAATATCCCCATTCTTCCTTTAAGTCTTTTCTTGACCATCTGCAATTCCAGGAGGCTTTCACTAGCCATAGAAATTTAGTTGCTTAAATATAAACTCTTTCCATGAGCCTCTAGAGTATGCATTATTTACCGGGCTGAATATCAATATTAGTTTATCATCATTGACTCTAAAAACTAGTTTTGTTAGAAGCATTCCTAATAAGAGAAATGCTTCTGCATGGATCTCACTGTGGGATAGACTAAACTATGTAAGTCTAAAGAATTTGGAAATTTTGGACGATGTTAAAAAATAAAAATTGCAGAAATTTCTGCCGAAGTATTGGTAAAATGAAGTACAGTGCTAAGCCAAACAAATGGAACATCATGTTTCATTATAAAAGCGAAAATCATCATTTGGTAACAGGTCAGCAGTATTACAACAAAAGCAATCTTGGCTTACTATTTACTACAAAATTATTTTTAAAAGGCAAAGATCTATTTAGTGGATTCAGTTTTGTTCATTCAATATTTATATTAAACTCACAGTGCAAATACAGCAAACACAAAACAGACCCACTTCCTAGAAGAGTTATTAAAAAACAGAATGTCATCATAATGTATCAGTAGAAATAAATCATACATCCATGCTTCTTAAAATTAAAAAAAAATTATTCTTGAGGCCAATATTATAATAATGCATCTTGACGCAGAAATGCTTAGCATTCTATTTCAGCCTATAATAGCCAAGTACACTATACTTACTGTTAAGAGCATGGACTCTGGTGTCAGATAACCTAAGTTTGAACCTTAATTCTAAAATCTATGTCATAATAAGCTAGGGCAAGTGATTTAACGTCTTTGAATCTCAGTTTCTTCAAATATAAACGAAAGATGATAATAGTACATAAATCAAAGAATTGTTTAGAAGGTAAAATGAGATGGCACATGTAAACAACTTACATCAATTTCAGGGAAATAGTACATGCTCAATAAAAGTCAGTTATTACATTATTTACATTCTTTATAATGGACAATGTGTTGAAATGCATATTTTCATAAGAAAAGGTAAAAATATTCAAAAGATCAAATAAAAATTAAGTGTATCTTACCCACACATTTTGGTGTTTTTCCACTCCACATACCATCTGCTGCACAATGAATTTGTTTAGGTCCATCTAGCATGAAGCGTGAATTACACTGAAACTGTACCACTTGTCCAAAAGAATATTCCTGGTCTGGTTCCAGTGCATCGCTGATAACTCTCCCATTCTCTGGTTCTGTTACTGGTAAACACTTAACAACTGAAAAAAATAAATACAACTTTTTCTAATATAATTTGAAAACTTTACCATGAAAAATATTTGTATCTGTGTGTGTATCATTGTTGTTGTTACTGTGTGTCGTTGAGTCGATTACCACTCATATAAACCCAATAGGACAGAGTAGAACTACCCCATAGAGTTTCCTGCTGTCATCTTTATGGGAGCAGATCATCAGGTCTTTTCTCCAGTGGAGTGACTGGTAGGTTTGAACCCCTGAAATTTTGGTCAGCAGCCGAGCACTTAACATTGCACCACGTGTGTGTGTGTGTGTGTGTGTGTGTGTGTTCACAAGCAAGATGAGATCGGAGTAAATTACTTAAATGTTTCTTTTAGAAGCATTTGGTATATCTGTTGACAAGAGAGACATGCTGCTAAGTAACAAATAAATAGTATATCTTCTGACTTTTTTCTACAGTAGACAAAAATAGTTACTACTCTGAATGTCAGTTGTATTTTTCGGTAACAAACAAGTATCTCCAAAGTAATTGCAAAATATAAAACTTGGGATAATCATATATAAATTACCATTTGTGCCCCAGAGTAATATAACACTGTATTGCTAAAATGTGTAAAATCAACTTCTATTGTTATACTAACTTCAATAGAGAAATAGTCCTTAATTTTTTTATCCTCTTCACCATCAATGTTCAAAGTAGTTTGAGTACTTCTTTTGATTTTGGTTAATATTTTCCAACTTCCCTAAAGTTACAGCATTCAAACTTTATTTTACAGTAGAATGACTGAGGTGTTTGTTAAAATGTAAATTTTAGGCATTAGCCTCTCACCTCCAAGGAGCTACGGTGGCACAGTGGTTAAGCGATAGACAGCTCATTGAAAGGTCAGTAGTTTGAACTCACCATTGGTTTGAACTCGGAAAAATATGTGGCAGTCTGTTTCTGTAAAGATTACAGCCTTGGAAACCCTGTGAGGCAGTTCTACTCTGTCCTATAGGGTTGCTATGAGTGGGAATCAGCTCTAAGGCAGTGGGTTTATCCCCTCACCTTCAGAAATACTGATAAAATAGGTCTCCTTTGGTAGCCATGAATTTCAGTTAACAAGCACCTCAGTTGATTCTGATGTAGATGTACTCTAGAACATCTCTAAATGAAGCATTTATCCCTTCCTCTCACTTCCACAGATGAAAAGTCTTCCATTCTCTTTTTAAGACAGAATTGTTTGAGTGATCACTTTGCTTCTCTCTAGCTTCTTGCTTCTCTCTGTCTCTCCACTTCTCACTGTGGAACTAGGAAAGACTTTTGATGGGTCTTTTATTCTTTTATTTCCATAATGAACAGAGACTGGGATTAGTAGATCAAACTTGAAAACAGGATCTACATTTTTCCCTTTTTCACTGTTTACTTTATGAATGAGTAAGAAAGGGCAGAACTCTCTCTTATGTCTTATTTCTGCCTCTTTTGGGTAAGACTAAGACCACAACAAAATCTCCTTTGGCAGGGAAGCAGACAGATACATCTACATCGTGTTCTCTACTTCAGCTTTTACCAGAGATTCCTGCAGTTGGCTGGTTATTGGATAAGTGTCTGTTCATTAATGAAGCTGAAATTCTGACCTCCATTTACATAGTGATTCTTATACGTATTTCTAGTGGTTAGAATCCAGATGGAGAGTAAAATCAGCTTTAGATTCCCTAATCTCTAATACGTTGACTATTAGATCAGATCGGGCTGTATTGATATTTTGTAATTGAAACACAAAAAAAATGTAGCAGTGAAAAGACTAGAAACCTACTCTTTGCAATATACTAGAAAACATAAATAATTTGAATAAGAAACAATTTAATCATAAACTCAGGAGGATATTTTAATGTAATACATTTTAAAAAATATTTCATAGTTTAGATATTTTAATACACTTTAAGACAATTTCACATCTACCTTCACATATAGGAATATTATTGGTCCATCCATCTGGTTCACAGTCACGGTAATTAACTGAACCTAGCATTTGATACCTGAAAATCCAAAAGTAAGAGAAAGGTGAGATGATGTGTTTATATGCAGTTTAAGTTCAAGGAAGTTGCTTTTCAGCAAAAATTAATAGCATGTGTATTTTCTCCCTTCTTCTTTCCTTCCCCCCTCCCTCCCTTCCTTTCTTTCTTTCCTTCAATTTCTTTCTTTCTTAAGAAAGACCTTCAGCACTCAGGTTCATGGACTTGGAATAATCATATTCTTTGGTTCATGACACCATCTCGTTTATGTTTTGTGCATAGTATTCTTATTTTTTGATTGAGTTAGTTAATTTGTTAAGGAGCCCTGGTGAAACAGTGGTTAAGCACCTGGCTGCTAACTGAAAGTTTGGTGATTCAAATCTACCAGCTGTTCTGCGGGAAAAAGATGTAGCAGTCTGCTCCGGTGAAGATTTACAGCCTTGGAAACCCTATGGGGCAGTTCTACTCTGTCGTGTAGGGTCGCTATGAGTCGGAATTCAACTCAATGGCAATGGGTTTGATTTTTTATTGTTTTTGTTTTATTAATTTGTTACACATAATAATGTAATAAACTTTATGAACCATCACCAAAAAAAAAAAAAAAAAGAAGCTAAAAACATATAACTACCCCATATGGTTATCCAAGGAGCAGCTGGTGGACTTGAACTGCCAACCTTTTCGTTAGCAGCCAAGCTCTTAACCACCATGCCACCGCTAGAAACATTGTAACCAACAGCTACTCATATGTTCCCCCTCCCCCAGTCCTATTCAATAACGCTGCCTCCTGCAATCCATCATTGTGATATTTCATAGATTTTATATTTTGGTCTTTTTACATGATCAAGGATAGTGCCAGACAAAATCCTTAGTGTGTAGTTTATTTTCATTATTTGTCATTTCTCCATCTCCATCCTAGAGATTTTCCCTGAGTGTGGTCAATAAGTCCAGTGTACTCGTGCAATCCATTAAATATTTATCCCATCACAGTAACTCGTAAAGCTCACCCTTCCCATCTATAATGCTCTACTTTAATATAAGTTCCTTGGGACAGGTGCAAGATGTGCAATCAAGGATGGAGACTTTAGATCAAGACAAAAGCACCCTTCTTGTTTAACAAGCAAGTGCATTTTCATTATTAACAGATAAGGATTTAGTCACAGTGGACACCTAGAGGCAAAAAACCTTTTTCTAAAAAAAAAAAAGAGAAGGTGTTTGATCACCATAAGAGAGGTTGTTTCTTTTTTTTAAATGGAACATTCATAAATGTGTAAATAATACTACATAGACAAAGCTTTTCTCCAGCAGCAGATAAGGATTGTTTTGCCCACTGCACAACCAAAACGAACTTTCTCCCTCAGAAAATGTTTCTTACTTTTATTATTGTTGATTTGTTCCTAACATGTCAGTGTACTGAAAACTTTTGAATAGGTTAAATGGTCATTTGGATAGGTTAAAAGTCTGTAGTCAAGTATTTATGTATCTGTCACATATAGTAAACAAAATGATTAATCATTAAGGTATTTCTTTAAATTTTCAATGGACAGGATTAGCCCTTCCAAGAGAGAAAACAGATTTCCTGATTAACATTCTCTGTCCACTCCAGAGATCCATCTATTCCCTAAAGTTCTTCCAGGAATTCTCCAAAGTTCTCCACAGAGCCTCCAGGACCCATATAGATGGGGGCAGGGAGAGAGAGATTGTCCATATGTTGGTGGTTGGGGGAAAAATAATGACTCATGTCTCTGCATGCCCAGCTAGGCAAAATTTGAGGAAAGCTTTTTGCAGTGTTCCTTAAGATTGCCTGCCCATAGGATAATGAAACTGGCTATGCATATTGAATACCCTGATAAGTGGCTGGTATTCAACTAAATAGGTATTCAGCATAGGAAATGTGGATGAAGACAAGGAACCAAAAAGAGTAGAAACCAGAGGTGCAGAGTTTACAGCTACTTTACCATTAGATTTCACAACTGGGACAAAAAATTTTCATCCCTCAGATGGATAAAACACTCCCTCAATAAAATTTTAAAATAACACAAAATAGTTCTATTTACTAACCCTAGAATGGTCCAAAGACTTTTATTTCACCGACAGATAACTAGTGCTTTTGGAAGCCCAGGCTGAATGGTAGATTCATGGATGGGCTAGAGCAGGGCTTACTCGTAATGTACATAAAATCAAGGTTACAAAGGTGAGTTAAGCAGAGTCAGAGTCAGAGGCAAGTATTCAGCTAATTTATTCAACAAATTATAAATATTGTGAATTACTGAGGTTTAAGGAATGCAGTGAAAGAAGTCTATGAGTTTTGACTCTTCGCCAGGTAAAGGACAGAACTTAAAGTAGCCAAACTGGGCTAGGTTATAGGAGTATTTCAGACATAAAGAGGGGAGCAAATTGGAAAGTTCATGCCCAGGTAGTCGTATCTATTTAGTTACGTATAAGGTCAGCAGCAATGACTGAGGGTTGGGATAAAAACGTGTTTGAAATAGCTCCCTCAGGTGGTGACCCAGGAGAGACTAAAATCAAAAGAACTAATACTGATAAATGCCTACAATATCATAGGAGTCCTGAGCGGTGCAAATAGTTAACACACTCAGCTGCTAACCAAAATGCTGGAGGTTTAAATCCAACCAGAGTCATCTCATAAAACAGGACTGGAGATCTACTTCTGAAAAATCAGCCACGGAAAACTTTATGGAGAACAGTTGTAATATGACAAACAAGAGGTTGCCATGAGTTGGAGTTGACTTAATGGCAACTGTCTTGCTTTTGTTTTTGTTTTGTTTTACAGTATCACAGAAATTCTTCCAAGGGCTTCAAGTATGTCTCATTTATTTCTCTTAACAATCCTATGATACACATAATGAGAGGAAATGTGAGTGAAGAGATATTAAAGAAAATACATGCACAGTTATTGAGTGGTGGAGTTTTAGAATGCAGGCTTAATTCATAGCCTCACCTTTAGACTATTATATTTTATTGCCTCAAATCAAGCAATAAATGAGGGTAGAATAGAAGATTCCATTTGTAATCTCTTGATACTATTTATGTAGTATAAAATTGTAACAACCCTGCTTTTCCCCTGTAGTAAACTTTCTTCAAAATAAGTTTTTGATTTAGCTGGGAATAATAGAGGAAGTAATACAGTACTGAGATTATCCATGAAAACCCAGTGGATGGTCAGAGGGCATGGAGTCAATGATTCTAAAGAGAGTAGCATTTTTGCTCCATGTGATAAGAATACTTTGCAGACCACAGAACCTGAAGTAATAGTAGTTATTAGTTGTCCTCATGTCAGATCCGATTCATGATGACTTTACGTATCACAGAATGAAATGTTGCCTGATCCTGTGCTATCTATGATCATTGGCACTAGGTAATAGTAATTATTACTATTATTTCAGTGTAAAAATTCTTACTGCCTCTAAATTTTATCAGCTTGTCTCAAAATAGGTACCATATAACATAATTTTGTTATAATTCCCATTGTCCCCAACACATTGAATTACTACATACTCTGGACATAGTAGAATATGGTGAAGATTTGTTGGGGTGAATATTTATGTGTGCTATCTTCCCACCTTCCTACAGCAACACTATACCAGAGTAATTAAAACTCACTTTTATTTTCCAATGTTACATGGTATCAAAATATAATTTTTCCCATTTTAAGCTTAATTTTCCAGGTTATTTTGTGGTTACTTATAAAAATGCTGATAGAAAAATAGAGTAATTTTTTTAAAATTATAAACTAGTACAGTTCTTATGGACTATCTCAATGATAAACCTATATTTTAATTGACTACGTACCCCGTATCACATGTATAAACAACCCTTGCTCCGTATTCAAACTCTTCTCTTACTGTGAGCTGGAAAGAACCAAAGCGAGTGTCTCCAGGATGTCCACAGGGCTTTCCTATAATGAAAAAAAAAAAAAAAAGATACACAATTAGTATGTAATAAAGGGGAGCACGTTTTATGTAGGAGTTTGGGGACAAAGATATTTGATATTATATTAGAGGATAGCAGTGAAGATATGGAAAAGTAAAAAAGAAATGGCAAAGTTATTATTTTATAATTGAGCTTATCTGTATGTTTGCTTTTTGAATTTTGCAAGATCAACACTCCTTTTTTAAAAATAATGACAGTGTATTGTTTTCTTTTTAAATGACAGTAGTGATATAATTCAGGCAGTATTGCTACAATATCAAAGTTTCAATATTTCCACAAGCTTCACAAATGTACAAAGTACTTACTCCGACATATCCTGGATGGATGAAGGGGCACCCATCTTCCATTCTTGCATGCCAGTATAATAGTTCCGAGAGTTCTAAATCCAGGGCGGCATTTATATATAGCCTGAGTACCTTCTGGATGTGATTTGTCAGACCAGGAACCTGTCAGAATTTCTGGATCTTTTTTTGGAGGAGGCTCTTCACAATCTACAAACAATTAAAGCAAAAAAATAGGTGCTTAAATTAATGACTTAAATGTACAGTATATTCAAGATAATTTTGCTTTTAAAATACCTATGCAGTTGCAGGTCCATCCAAACGTATCTCGTGATATATATAAAATAAATATTTTATTGTCTAAAAATTGGATCTACATCATTTTGCAAAAATGTCCACTATGTAAAAATAACCAGAATAATTTTCCAGGACAATAATTATACCTAACTGTATTATTTTTAGTTATTGCAATGCGTTCTACTATTTATTAATTCAGGAAATATTTATTAAGCAGTGTTCTAAGTTCTGAGAAAAAAATGAATAAAACAGACAAAGTCTTTGATCTCACAATGTTTACACTCTAGTAGGGAAATTGGTTATTAAATAAGTATGCATAGAGATGAGTAACATGGATTACAGGTACAAAAATTCTATGCATGTAAATTTTGGGGATACTGCTTAACTGCATTAATTAGGGGAAAGGGGGTGAAAAGTATGAAGTGAGCAGCATTCTCAAAATGATAGAAAAATATCAGAAATGGAAAATTAGTAAATGGAAATTAGTAAATGAAAAATAATGACAAGGACAGAAATAAATGAAATTATATATAATTACTTTATATTATATATATATTTTATGTATAATATATATGTATAATATATATATATTATATATAAAATATATATATAATATAGAGTATCAATCATGTCAAAAGCTACTTCTTTGACAAGAAAAATAAAATTGATAAAATCCGGGCAAGATAAACCAAGGGGGAAAAAAAAAGAGAGAGAAGGCACAAATAACTGAACAAAAATAAAGAAGAGGTATCACTAGAAATCTTGCAAAGATCAAAAACATTTTAACAGGGTATTATAGAATACATTTGAAAATACTGATGAACTAGACAAATTCCAAGAGACAAATATGGCTTACCAGAACTGACTTAAGAAGATTTTAAAAACCTCCTAAGTTCTATAACCAAAATATTTATACAAATAAAACTCTAGACACAGTTTGTTGAAGTAGTTGGCTTCCCAGGTACTTACACAGAACATCCAAGCAGAAATAACCTTGTTATTAAAATCTGACAAAGTTACGGAAAAAACACAGAGAAAATGGGCAAAAGACTTGTGCAGATACTTCACCAAAGAGAAAATCCACATGATAAACAAATTTATGAAAAAAATGGTAAAACTGAAAATAAAAATTAGCACCATAATAAACGAGAAAAACATAATATTGGCAAAAATTAAATGTCTAAAATACCCTACCTTGGAAAGAAGGTGGAGCATTATGTGGGAGGGAAAATTGGAACCACCATATCAGGAAAGAGTTTAGCAATTCACAGTGAAGTTGAAAATATGCATTGTCTATTGTACAGCGATTTTATTTCTAAGAATATGTCCTAGAGAAATTCATGCACATGTGAATTCTATTTCATATATGGTAATGCTTATAAGAGTATAGTTTATTAATAGTCAAAAATAGAAACAATCCGAAAGTCCATCATCAAATAGATAATGTATAATATATGCATGCCATGGAAGAGTACATCAATGGCACAAAATGAGATGAACGGAAAAAATAATAATCACATTAAGTAAAAAGACACTAAATTGCATCAAATACTGCAGGATTATTGCATCTATATAAAATTCTAGAACAGATATATTTTTACACTAATAACGTGCGCCTTCTACGTTTGTTTGCCAACTGCACCCTCCCCCCATGAGGTATTTTCATAAATGCGCCATGCTGATTTTTTTACAGAAACATATTTTAAAAACGGGCACAGCGGCACTTATGAAAATAGCTCGCGCAGGGGTGAGAGGAGGGCGTAACTGGCAAACAAATATAGAAGGCACACATTATTTGTTTCAAAATACAGTATATATATAGGGGATATTGGTGATATCATTTACTACATTCTTATTTCATTCTTTTTCTGTATTATATTTCACAATAAAAATATTAAAGCAATAAAGTCTACATGTACAGTATAATTCTTATTTGCGGGGAAAAAAAGCACATATAAAGAGGAGAATGCCCTGGAAATGAACAACTAAGATCAAACCTACTGATTTTATTTTTAATATTTTATTTTTTCCTTCTTTAGGCAAATTTAGATATAACTTAATGTAAATATAACTAATCTTAATATTAGAATGATTATCTTAGTACTACCCTAACGTACCACTTTTTAAAATGCAAATTCTAAGATACTTATCACAATACATATTTTTTAAGTTATTATTTTCATTGTGAATTTCCTTTCCTTAACTGGTTTTATACCAGTGATCTAACATTCTATTCTAGAAATTCTTTTGAAAAGGCAAGAAGGAAAAAAACAACAACAACTGAGCCAAATCCCGTCATGGAATGTATCTTTTATGAAAATGTTTTACCCAATTTCAGTGGAAATAAAGCTGTAACTGAAATTATGTTTTATGCAATAAATAATACTCATGTGGGCTGTCGTATGCACTAATTTCCCTTTGAAGTTTTTGCAAATTTTTAGCACATTTATATTAAGTAATGTGTAATAAGTGGCTCCACATTACAATGTTCTAATAATTTAAGTAAACATGCTTTTATTCCACTAGATGGTGTTAATACTCTACCACAAAACAACACAAATCCTCTCCCTTCCAAAAAAAAAAAAAAAAAGCCGTCTGTGTTTTTCATCTTTTAAATTTCTGCTCCATGTTTTTACATGGAAAACTTCAGCTTAATTGCAGGCTGATATGTATGTTTTTCACTTTTGTAATTCAGACCCACTTCATGGTGTTCAGGTTACTGGAGAAATAAATTAATTGAATTTCAAATGCTGAAGCCAACATTGGAAGTAGAACTATTTTCCACAAACATATTAACACTTTGGAAAACTTAATTCTTTCCCTGCTATTAAGCTAATTCTAGGAAATAGTAATACTAGTTTTCTTATGAATTAATTTATTTGATTTATATTATTTTTATTAAAGTAATCCATTCACAAAAAGTTCAGCCCATTTGCTCCCAAGAGGCACTCTTTCTTCTGGTTGTTATTAAGGACCTCTGGTGGTGCAATGGTTACAGCTCAGTGTCTAACCAAAAGTTGGGAGTTCAAATTCACCAGCCGCTCCTTGGAAACTCCATAGGGTAGTTTTATTCTATCCAGAGGGTAACTACGAGTTCCAGATAACACCTTTATACATCTAATTCTTGACTTTTCAACTTTAATTAATTGCTTTTGAAAACCAGATATGAAAGATAAGGATATATCTTCACACAGTCTTCCTACAAGCTTCTCACAATATTTATGTATATATGTTTACTAACAACAACATATATATTTACTATATATAAAGAATTCTCAGTGAATATCCTTTTTACTTCAAATAACACGTAAATCTCTGGTGCTGTTTCCATCAACTTTAGATAGCAACTCTTGACTCTGTAAGATAAAGACATTATCATCCCTACACCATTTTTAAGGAGCCTGGGTGGTGCAAGTGGTTTGCTACTAGCTGCTAACCCAAGGGTTGGTGGTTTGAACCCACCCAGCAGCTCAGTGGAAGAACGGCTTGGCAAACTTTCTTTAAAGATTGCAGCCCAGAAACCCTTATGAAGCAGTTCTACTCTGTGACATACGTGGTCGCCCTGAGTTGGGGTCTGACTAGACAGCAGCTAAGAACCACTACCAACAACTGTATTTTTTCACCTTTCCACTGCCGTCTCCAAAATTTTAGTTCATGTCATCAGCATCTGTCACATCAATTATGAAAAAGCCTCCCAACTATTCTCCATGCCTCCACTCTCCCATTCTCCCAGTCCGTTTTCCACAGAGCCACAACTGATTTTTGCAAATTTGATCACATCACTCCCATGATTAAAATTCTTCCATGATTTCTACTTTTACTTATAAGAAATTACAAAGTCCTTACCTTGGACTGGAAATCCCTTCTCTGACTCTTGCCTTCCTCTCTGATCTCATCTTGTTGCCTTTCCCATCTACTCACTATCTCAAAGCCACTCTGGTTTCTGTTTGCTTGTTTATATTTTGCTGAGCATCACACACACATTTTCTTTTTTCTCAGACCCTTTGCACATGTTGTTTTCTTCTCCTGAAACACTTTACCATAGACTTTTGATGGCCGACTGGCTTTGTCTCATCTGTCAGGCCCTAATTGACTTCTGAAAGTGACCCACCCATTGCAGGTCTCCAAGGCCAGCCCAGTTAAAGTCTCCACATCCCTCTGCCCCCATCTGTGTTATTTTTCCTCAGCCCCTGCTGTACTGCCTTCACAACATTGCATACAATTCATAATTATTTTTATTTGCTAGGATTTGTGTAGCTACCACACAAGCTCCCTGAGAGTAAAGGTCATTTCTGTCTTGTTTTTTGAAGTTAAGAGAGGCATTTTCACTAATATCCAGAACTTACAACTTCAGATATACCTTCCTGTCTACTTTTGTTCTAATCCTCAATATGTTGAATATTATCAACTAATGTCAAAGAAAATATTTGAAATAATGATTTACTGGATTGGGTAATAACCACAATTAAGCATATTTTGAGACATGACTTTTATTTGCCTGAGTTGACTAATAATTAAATGGTCAAACTCAGTTAAACCACATTCTCAAATATTTCTAATTAGAAAATAAAGAGTTATTTTGGCTGAAGTAATTAAACTGTCTGCATGTATGAATAACAACCACATTTGTTTGAATTAAATTGGAAGTTCTTGAGGAAAACAGGGCATTGGACTTACTCAATAGCCTTTGTAAAAGTATTTTCTAAAGTACAGAATATTTTTTGAGGTAGAATTTATCTTAAAACATTTAAAATAAAATATTCATCTCGTTTCCTGGGTTCTAAGTTAATGAGTAAGCTATGCTTTCTTATGCCTAAGTAGTTATTTGGATTTAAATAATGAATACTCCATCTTAAGTGTTTACATAGCCATTTAATTGCCAATTAATTCTGTTTACAAAGCACTACCTGGGTGAACTTTTCATTCACTTGGTTTTATTTTTCAATATAAAGTTATTTTCAGTCAACAAATAAGGAGTGTGAGTGGGTTTGGGTATTGGAGAGTAATAAGTATCATTTCACTTTAACGTGAGGAAAATAGTTATATAATTTTGGTTAAAGCTAAAACAATTACACTTGATGTTTTAATAACCACCATCTACCTAATTTTTCCACTTGCAAATTTTCAATTTATTTATTTTCAGTTTATTTATTTTCAATGTCACTGTGTCTATAAACTTCTTTGAAAGGTGTGCTTAATTAGATGAAAAAACATCGTAAATTTATATATTTATGAAAACTTTAATGAAATTTGTACCAGATTGTTTTGATAGGCTACAGTTGATCTCTTTACTTGATCACTACTATATTTCTAAAATTATTTCAAGAAAAAAGAAAGAGAAATATTATTTTAAAAAAATAGATCCTTGGTAGAATTCTCAAGAGACCTGGGTTCAATTCCTGGCCAATGCACTTCATGTGCAGCCACTCCTCATCTGTCAGTGAAAGCTGGTGTGTTGCTATGATGCTAAACAGGTTTCAGTGGAGCTTCCAGATTAAAGATAGACTAGAAAGAAAGGCCTGGAGATCTACTTCCAAAAATCAGCCAGTGAAAATCTTATGGAACACGGTTGTGCCTGCGGTTGCCATGAGTCGAGGGCAACCCCAGAGCAGCTAACAACAATAAAGCAATTCTAAATCTAGTAGATATTAGAATATATTGTAAAGCAAAACTACAAAATCAATTTAGAAAAAAGTGAAACAAAAGGACAGAATGGAAATAGCAAAAGCAGATTTTTATATTAAATTTCTTTCTCATCTCTTCATTGGTATATAAGCATATTACTTACATACGCATATATATGATATAACACAATTAGCTTTTTAATGTAAGAGATATTCAGGTTATTTTATAAATAACATGAGAATAATTTAAGGTAAAATGGTAAGTTATGGATGCACCTGTGCAAAGAAAAAATTCAGTTGCAATAAAGAAGTTAAAAAAATGAATTCTAGAAAAAGTAGTAAAGTAACTATGCTGCATTTAATAAGCATTTGAAGAAATAAGATATTTTTAACAATTAATAAATTACTATGCAATTTTTTTAAAATTATTAACAATTTAAAAAATGAAGATAATTCCAGAATCATAGAGAGATAATAAGAGAACAAGAGATTGCCATAAGAAATTGGGCAGAATAACTATTACATAATAATTAGGGTTGAAACAAATTGCTATCAGGATACAGCTTATAAATTCCACTGATATCAAGTTTCTTGAAATGTGCAATATTTAGTTAATTCCTAATGTCAGTTTAATATTCAGCAACAATTTTAGTCTCCTAAAATTAATTGTCTGTAAGTATCTATAAAATTAGTTTTTATAAGTGTTGATTATTTGCTGTAGATAAGAACTTAGCCACAGGGTGAAATGAAAATGAGGACCCTGAAACATATGTAGTGGGAATGATGGTTGTGGATCAGACCATTGTTTTGCGTAGGATTTTCATTGGCTGATTTTTGGAAGTAGTTCACCAGGACTTTCTTCCTAGTCTGTCTTAGTCTGAAACCTCTGCTGAAATCTGTTCAGCATCATAGTAACACACAAGCCTCCACAGACAGATGGGTAGTGGCTGTGAGTGAGGTGCATTGGCCAGAGATAGAATCCAGATCTCCTGCACTGAAGACAAGAATGCTACCACTCAATCACCAACCAACTACCTTGCCTGGCTCTTAGCAGTCATTTAGGGGGAAAAAAAATCACTGAATGAATGAATGAACTGACAAATGAATGAAAATAAAACTATCTGGGATCCTTTTCACTATATCTGTAGATTGTGGATGGCCTGTGAAAAGGGCATAATAGACAGTACCAAAACCAAAAACCAAATCCGTTGTCATCAAGTGGATTCTGACTCATAGAAACCATACAGGACAGAGTAGAACTAGCAGATGTAAATGATCTGAGAAGACCTGGAGACAATGTTTATGGCACTTAATGCTCTGTTGCATGAACCCAAGAGCCTCTACTGTCTATAATTCTATTGTACACCTGGTCTATGAGTCCTAAGTCTGAATTTACTTTATAGTTTTTGAAGTCAGGAATCACTTTTATTAAGCTCAAAAAACTTTTGAAATTGTTTGAAGGAACATTTCTATAATTGCTTTTCTATCTATTACATGCCTGATTAACAAGGTTTATGAGAAACTTGGCTCTCTCTGTTAAAATGTCAAAACAAACAGAAGTGCTCTGTCAAATCATTTTATTATTTTTGTGGGTTTTTTTTTTTTTTTTTTCAGTTCAGTTACTTTGCTTTCCCTGAGCCATTTTTTTTATAGTTTCTGTTGATAATTTTAAGCTAAAATGTGATTTTTTTTCCAATTACAATATGCCCTTTACATGCCCTTATAAAAGTTGTTAAGAAATGGGTAAAGTGCACATTTGTTAATTGAAAACAGAATATTGGTTGGCAGAATCTCAAAGGCCTGGGCATGTTGGGGATGGTGTGGGGAGGGAGGAGGAAGCATTGCTGGAAAGAAAGAAAAGTGGCAAAGGCTGCAGAAGAGCCCAGAAATGAGCAAATAGAAATGGGTCAACTTAGACTTTGGCACAGGACCTAGAAACCAAAGGCTAAAAAAGAAGAATCTTCAGTGGTCTGACCTGGAACTTTATTTGGGAACTTACTTCTAGCTAAGAAGAATTTTACTCTTCAATACCTAAATAAGTCAGTTTTAGTTGAAAATTCTATAGAAGCGGAAGATAGCACAGGCATTACTAGGATATTCCTAAACTTAAAATAGGCAAGGCTTGCATTAGCCTACTTTTCCCTATTGTGCCATTTCTGTAGGCATTTTCTTGACCCCTTCTCATGGGCTCACTGTGCACTTCATTCAGTTCTCTTTTACCTAGAAATAACTCATCTTCCAGAATCATCTTCTCCTATTCTTTTTACCTTCCTCCTCATCCATTTTTACTCTTCCCTCCACTAAAATTGTTGCAGGAATGTTATCAGTTTACAGTAATTTGAGGTAAATTATGGTGAACAATACCAAATTTAACCATCCTGTAGTATTTTTCACAGTATTTGCTATTCCGTGTAAATTTCAGATTGGTTGAATGTACGGTAATAAAATGTAAAGCATTTTAAAAGGAGGAGAGAAGATACCGATAACAACTGAGCCATTGGACAATTTTAAATCACACCATATAGGTAGACACTTACACTAACTTTGAAAATATTTTTTTTTTTGAGAGAGAGGAGAGTGGCTTCATGGCATTGAAATTCAAACAGAATTTGAGATTATAGACAACTATCACAATTTTTCTGTATTAGACAATACCTGTTCCTGTCGAGGAGATTCCCATTCGTATGGACCCTATGGGACAGATTAGAACTGTTACATAGGGTTTCCAAGGAGCGGTTGGTGGATTCGAACTGCTGACCTTTTTGCTAGCTGCCGAGCACTCTTAACCACTGCGCACCACCAGGGCTCCGTATTAGACAGTAATAAATAATATTCACATATAGCCTTATGAAGTGTATGTTTTTTATTAATTTATAATTAATTCTTA